CCCCAAAACCCCAAAACCCCAAAACCCCAAAACCCCAAAACCCCTTTAATGCTTTTTCCAATTGAATTTTATGTTGAAAATGTCTTCTGTCTCTTAATGGGGTTGAAGCAGGAGATGTACTCCTCATCCGAACTAGCTTCCTTCTCTTCTACGTAATGGGCAATGAAATCTCCCCAAACTATCTGAGTGTTGGTAAGAATTTGGCACATCTGGTCTGCAATTCTCAAAAAGTGGCCTTTAAGGTCCTTAAAATTATACTTCAGTACTCTCCTAATCTCCGTTTCCAAGGTATTATTAAGATAATTCAGCAGGAGTTTCTTGCTATTAAGCTGTGTGGTTTCTTCGGGTAACATCTTGGACTTTGCAAGGTACTCATCTTTATCAATCTCGTCTATATTTTCAGTATCTTCAGGGCTGAGTCCCCACTTGTCGAAATCTCTTTCTGCATACAGTGAGTTTTTAGTGGCTTCTAGGTTGGTCTGCATCTTGGCGAACTGGGTCTTAGTCATATTTCGGTGATTGTATATTTCAATCATTGAGATGTGCTCGTTCATGTTATACTTGAAGAATCTTGGGAACCAATTTTTGAGGATGTTACTTTGGCCGTGGTAGGAGTCACTCCAGGAGGAGAGCAAGGCGGAAATTGACTTGTTTATGTCTAGCATGTCTTGCATGTCTTGATCAGTGTCTTTATACAAATCACCTAGTTCATCAAAATAGGATGATAATTCATCCATAGTAACAGTCAAAGCTTTGAATTGATCAACCAGGACCTTGCTGGTTGAGGCTATCTTGTGGTTCAATCTTTCATAGTTCTTAGAAAAAGAGGGAATCTGGGAGCAGAACTGCCAAGTTTTTGTCTTTGATTTAATATTAGCTTTTCCATGAAGAGTAGTGTACTTATCCAAAGTTTCAGGCATCTTTTCTTTATTTACGTTGCTCCATCAACCTCTCAAAGGCTTCTTGGTTCTCAGTATTAAGGAATTCTTGAAGGAAGTAAGAGCCTCTAAGATCGGGGTTACGTAAGACGTTTATTAAGAACCTAGAGAAATACTTTTCTTTTTTTCTCAGAGAAGATTCTGAACTTTTATCATTAGTCAGAACTAGTGGAGGGACGAAATGTTGAGGGTATTTCTTCCTCAAGTAATCTCTCAGAAAAATGAAGTCTGACTCTTTTCTTCTCACACACCAACCAATAGGGTTCAGCTGCACCTCATATGATATATACGAGAATGAGAAGAACCCATCTTTGCAGACTTTGCCTTTGCTCACGAGAGCGCTAAGGTTTTTCTTCTTCAGTTGGGAAAGCTCTGAAAATCCTTTGTCTGTTCTTGCAAATCTTTTTATTTCTGTGCTGCTTCTTTTCATGATATCTCCATCTCCTCTAAGGTCTAAACTTTTATTTCTTCTGGAGAGTATTTCTGACTGAATTATCACCGATGACTTCATAGTCTCTCTGGCTTGATCTTGAGGAGCCTCTTTTACGTAAAGAATCTGGGCTGATTTCATTTGGGATCTCAGGAGATTCCTCGTTGTTAAGATAACTATCTTCTCCATCAGGTTTCATGTGTGCATTGATGCTTCTTTCCTTTCTGAATTCGTTGGAAAGTCTACGACTATCGATATTATTAGGATAGTCAGATTCTTCCTCGTGATATTTCTCTTCAGTGAAATGTTTTTCCTCCTCTTCGTCACTATCTTTTTGCTCGAAGGTCTCATCGAACATCTCTGAGCCTACTGTGTCAGCTGCATTTGATCTTTTGAATGCTCTAACGATCTCGACTATCTCGTCGTATGTCCAGTTGTCAACATTTGTCCCGCACTCTCTGTTATCAGACATGAATTGTGAGAAATCTTCTTTATTGTACCCTTGATTTATTATGTTGTCAATTAGGTAGTTCTGTTTCCTTGATTTCTCTGCCAAGTTGTCGTAGAAGGTGTTTGAATATCTTGCGTAATACTCTTCTGACATTTTATTAATTATACCAAATTATATTAATTCAATTTAATGCTATTGACCTGGGGTTTTGGGGTTTTGGGGTTTTGGGGTTTTGGGG